TAGGACCACCACATTCATCGCAAAGTGGGTTCCTCTTCTGGGTCCCCCAGTGGTTTCTCTGGGTGCACTGAAGGGGTTAATCCCCTGACAGTCCCACAGGAAACATGTCCCAAAGTTTTTCCCTGGGGAAACACTGTTTGGATTAAGGTTTCCCATGTCTGGGCTTAGCCTGAGAGCTTCTCTGCTGCAAAAGGACCTTTGAGGCACAGCAGTGCTGGACCATGGGATGGTAGGATCACAAAGAAAGAACCTTGGGACTCCAGTCCAACCTCCTCCAGGGTCAAGTCCAAGACCAGCTCAGTCCCAAAAACCTCTGAGGATGGAGACTGGGTCAGCTCCAAGACCAGCTCGGTCCCAAAAACTTCCAAGGATGGAGACTGCACCACCTGAGAACTGACCCTAAACCTGCTCTTCTGGGGTTCCCCAGTGCAAAGGGATCCATGGGGGTTTCCTCAATGTTGGGTCAAACTTGCACCAGGTCCTTGCTCCAGGCTGGGCTCTCTCCATACCTCGCCCACCACGCCATTATGATGCTGTTGCTGAAAGTTGGACTGTCCCCAAGTGATGTGGATGTGGGAAAGGTCCCACCAGCTCCAGCATCACTCAAGGGTCAGAAAAATGCAGCAAAATGTCACCACTTCTCAGGTCGGTGGTGGGAGATGTGATGGGTCTGGGAGGACATGACCCAGGAGCCTCAGCACTAGAATCACCATGTCCCACCGCCCTCCACCTCCCAGGGACACCAGCTCAGCTCCTTACCCTGGCCATTGGCATCTTGTTGGCCTCTACGTAGAAGTGGGGGGTCCGCACCTCATACAGGGCTCCATAGTCCAGCTCCTGCAAGGAGACACACCTGAGTGAGTCACCCAGATGCAGGCAGGGGCTACAAGGGGATATGGTGGGAGCAGGGCCACCACATGTGATCCAGAAGAGGTTGAGAGGGACCTAATATCCCTTTGCAACTCATTGGAAGTGAATTGCAGTGGAGTTATAACTGCAGGCAATGGCTGCAGAACAAACTTGGCTGATTCTGGTTGGGCTTCAACCAAGAGGCTGGAGGAGCCCTGCCCACCATGGTGGAGCTGGGGATGGGGCTTGGCTGCCTGTAGCACAGAATGCCCATCCCCACCATCCCCATTGCCAGGAGCACTCACAGTGGTACCCATCTTCTCCAGGGTCTCCTCATTGATGGGGTAACGCAGCTTCATCTTGCGGTAAAGTGGGTGCTTCTCATAGTAGCTGACGAGGTCCACGAGGCTCTCAAACTCAGCCGAGCTGCCCAGCATGAAGAGCCGACCTTCCTGCTGGATCCGGCAGTGCTTGATCTTCCCCTCCGCCCTGGGGCCAAGAGAGCCAAGGGAGATATGTGAGGAGTGGCCAGACCCTGGCTCCATGATGGGGACAGGCAGGAGATGACATCCTGCCCCAGCAGGGATGCCACTGGGGTGGCCTCCTTGAGGACATGGCTTTCCCATCACTGCAGCTAGGAGGTCCACCCTGTTAGAGCATCATGCACCCCATGTCACCCTGCTGACCCACCATGGAGTCACAACAGACATGAGCCAGGCAGTTCTTCGCTTGGCCAGCAACGTGGTCATCATGGCTGAGACCAACCAGCCTTGGGGTGCACTCACCGGAAGGAGATGGCGTAGGAGTTGGGTTCACTGCGCTTGCGCACCAGGAAGGCTCCATCCCGTGGGACCCGCATCAGCATGTGCTCAGCCTGTAGACGCGTCAAGCTGGCATGGTACCACCTGGCCGGGCAGAGCATGGAGGTGGTGGGCTGGCACTGGCGTCCCCACACCCCAGGGGGTACCCAAGACCCAATACCAGGGATGGAGGAGGCTGGTGGACCCAGAGAACCAAGGGTATGAGGATGTCCTCACTCTTTGCTCTCATGGGCGTTGGGCTGGGGGACGGGGTCAGTGAGGCGCATCTCGAACTCGTTGCAGCGGAGTGGCACCTCGCGGTAGTGGCAGATGAGGCTGTAGAGGCTGTCGAAGACCAGGTTGTCCGTCAGGTAGAACTTGGTGGCACCGGCCTCCTGCCGCGAGTGGATCCGGCAGTGCTGCACGCGGCTGGACCTCCTGCCATGGTGTTGCAGGGAAGACAGAGGTGAGTCAATTCAGGCCATGTCCTCACCACCCCACACTTTGGGGTCCACGTGCCATGCAAAAAGGTGGTGTTTCCCCCCAAAAATGCCATTCCAGGCACCAGACCAGGGACTGGCTAGAGGGCCAACCCCTGGCTCGGGGAGGATGGGATCGTGCGTCTCCCCTGGAGCTCCTACCAGAAGGAGAGGGTGTAGTCGCCCACAAAGGTCTCGCTCTCGCGCACCAGGAAGGTGCCGTCCTTGCCGCCCGTCTCAGTGCAGTACTCGTGCAGCAGCTTCTCAGCGATCTGCCGCCCATCACGGCCACCTCCCAGCTTCCCATGAAACCACTTCTCCGTAAAGTGCAGCTCGTTGTTGTTGAACTCCTGTGAGTTCACCACAAAATGAGAGAGATGCCCGGGGGTTAGCATCCCCCCCAACCTCTGGCATCAATCAAGGCATTGCCATCCTCTCCCCTTTCCCCATGAGACCTCCCTAAATCCCCCTGCCCCATGGTGACATCCTGCTTTGCACGCACCTCCTTCTGCTCCACCTCCTCCTCATCCTCATTGAACTGGTAGCGGGATGTCTCCTCTGAGTAGTAGATCTTGTTGCTTGTCAGGACGAAATAATGGGGGCTCCAGGTCTGGGAGGGAGGAAGAGCATCACTCCCCAGTGGGGAGGATGGTGGCATGGAGGGATGGGGCTTTGAGATCTCCATTTCTACCCCTGCCCCGTTTCCCCATGGAATTGCAATGGTCTAGGAGAGCCCATGCCCCGTGCCCAACCCAAACCCTGATGCTCATCCCCATCTGACAGACCCCACCTGACCCCCAGCTGCCATCGGCAGGGAGCCCCTTACGTGGTCGATGGGGTCTTCGAGGTAGAGGATGCCGTTCTTGATGGAGTTGCTGATGTCATTTTCCGAGTAACTGGCGGTGGAGACCTCCTCGTACAGGTTCCCTTCGACCAGCTTCTTGTGCTGGGGACAGCCCAGGGAGGGGACCTCAGTGGTGGGCACAGTGTCCCTGTCACACTGAGCTCCCAGCCCTCAAGCCATGCTTGGGCTCCTTCAGGTCCCTCTCCACCACCCCGTTCCCCTTGCCTGTCTCTTGAAGTAGGACATCTCTCCAATGTCCTACTGCTTGCGCATAGAGCGATATTGCTGCTGAGTCCCATGATTTGAGAGAATAACCATCCCTCTGAGCCCAACATGGTCTTTGTCCCCTCAAAGAGGGGCTTTGGGGTGGTGCCCATTCCACACCTTGATTAGGATCTTCTTCTTGAGCTGGGTGGGCGAAGGCAACTCATCAGCGTTGATGTCCACCGGCTTGGTGAGTAGCATGTCCCCAAAGACCTTCTTGAAGTGGGAGGCCATGTTCCTCTGCTGGACAATGCTGCAGTGGTCTTCGATGGAGAGGATGATGGGGAACCTGGAGGAAGCAGGTGGGAATGGTGGCTTGGGACAAAGGCGAAGTAGATGGGAATTTGGGAAGGGGTTGCCTTCCTTTCCCATAATTGGGGTGTTGTTGGGGGGCAGGGGCTTACTCAGAAGTGACGAACGCGTGCTCCTTGATGGTGTGCAGCACGTCCAGGAACTTGATCTTGGAGGTGAGTGTGTGGCCATGGTAGATGATGGGAAGATCGTCTGGGCCATCCCAGCAGTCCACTGAGGGGAGGACACCTCAGTTAATGCATGCCAGTCACTGACTGTGCATCGGGGACCATGTTTTTGGGCCCCAAAAGGACATGGAAGATCTCCCACCCAGTGCTGTGGGTGCAGAGGATGGTCTGTCTAATGGACCAGGGGGTGTCAGGGGGGAATGAGCATCACCGTAGGGTTCTGGGGGGACTCACACTCGATGCAGCGGCAGCCCATGCGCAGGCAGCGGGCATATGCCTCCAGGGAGGATTCGCTGGAGAACTGATCCCCTGTTAAATACCTGCAGAGGAGAGACAGGGATCAGCAGCAGCCAGGGCTGCCCCAGCCGAGGTGATGGGATGCTCACAGAGGTCCCCAAGAAGAGCCCACCCTGTCCTTACGTGTTGTGGGAAGAGGAGATCCAGTACTGGGACAGGGGGTGGTTCATCTCCTCAGGCACCACGCGCTCATACTTGGCGTCCATCACCATGTTCTCCTTGGAGAAGAGGTACGTGAGGAACTAGGGGGGGAAGCAGAAAGGTCAAAACCTGTCAGGGATGGGGAGACATCTCTGGGTGGGTGCTACGTGGGGCCACCCACCTCGTCCAGCTGGAAGGAGGGGTCCACCACCTCGCTGGAGCTCTCCTTGAGGTAGGTGGACATGTAGTCCCGCACCATGCCCACGTCGCTGGCCCAGGGTTCCTGGGGTGCAAACACAGCCATCATTATCGGGGAAACCAGGCTGGGGCATCCCATGGGGGTCCCCGAGTTTGGGGCTGAGAGGGGTGCTGCAGGGGTCTCTAAGGGCACCCACCTTCTGGTCGTGCAGCAGGAACTTCTGGAAGTCGTAGAGGGAGACTTGGCACAGCTCGGGGCGGTCCATGTTCCTGCAACATGGAGCAGCCATCAGCGAGGACTAGGAGCAGGAGTTGGGGTAGACCCCATGGGGGAGTTGAGGTCACCAGCGTCCACCCACAGCTTGGCCCGTTGATGCACCCAGCTCCTGCCTGGCTCCTGCCCACTGTGGCAGGTGACAAGGGACTCAAGGAAAGCGCAGGCCATGGGGGTGCAAGAGGCACCTCAAGCTGTTGGGTGCTGCTAGAGCAAACCCTACCCATGTCAGCCTGTGACCTGGGAGAAGTGGTCACACAGCTGGAGGATGTGAGGAGGAGTGCAGGGTGACATGTTCCTACATCCCTGGCACCCATCCCTACTCACAACTTTGCTCCCATTCCTGTTCACATCCCTGCTTCTATCCCCACTCCCATGCCTGCACCCATCTCTAGTCACATCCTTGCCCCCATCCCCACACCCATCCCTACTCTGATCCTGCTTTCATCCCCACACCCATCCCTACTCTCATCCCTGCTCCCATCTCCACACCCATCCCTGCTTCCATCCTCACTCCCATCCTTGCTTCTGTCCCCACTCCCATCCCTGATCCCATCCCTTCTCCTATCCCTGGTCCCATCCTCATCTCCACTCCCATCCCTACTCATCCCCACTCTTATCCCTGCTCCCATCTCCACTCCCACCTCTGCCCATCCCTGCTCCCATCCCTGCTCAGCCCCATCCCTACCCCCTCTCCCATCCCTGCTCATTCCCACTCCCATCCCCGATCCTATCCCTGGTCCGATCCCTACTTCCATCCTCACTCCCATCTCCACTCCCACCTCCCCACCTATGCCCATCCCTGCTCCCATCCCTGCTCATCCTCACCCCATCCCCTTTCCCACCCCCTCTCATCCCTGCTCCCATCTCCAGTCCCATCCCTGATCCCATCCCCTTTCCCATCCCTACTCCCATCATTGATCCCATCTCCACTCCCACCCCTGCTCATCCCCACCCCTATTCCCTTTACTGTCCCTGCTCATCCCCACTCCATCCCTGCTCCCATCCCCACCCATCACACCACCCTTGCCATCCCCACCATTCCCTCCACCCCAATCCTGCCCGGACAGCGGGAGATGCTCCAGGGCCACCCACACCACCCGGACCCTCCAGTCTCCCCTTGCTCTGCCCCACAGCCCGATTCCATTGCCCACCCGATGGATCCAACCCTTGGAAGCTTGTCCGGGATGGGAGCCACGGGGCTCCTGGGGACTTACCGCAGTGGGAAGGAAAGTTCCAGCTGCTCGATGACCTGCAAGGCAAAGGAGGGGACTGGGCTTAGGTGGCTGGAGACATGCCGCACTGGGTGGGGGGATGCCTGGGAGGACAAGAGTTGTCTCTTACCGACTTCTGTGCATCAAACATCAAGTTTTTGTAGAATTGGATGAAGTGGGAGAAAGTCATCTCATTCCTGGCTTCCACCTCCTGCAAGAGAGGGTGTGACATGAGAGCAGGGCCACCCAGCTGGAGAAAAAAACTCCAGCCCAGCTGTGGGGGCTTGAAGACCCTCTCCTTGTGTAGTTGGGGTGCCCAAGGGGGTCCTTACCATGAGCTTGTCCCGCAGGAACCTCATGTTGGGGACGCGGTAGTTCACCTGGGGCAGCATGGCCTTGAGGTCCTTCACTGTGATGCTGCAAGAGGGTCAGTTGGCATCAGGGACATGTACAACCGCCGGATGGATCTCAGCTCCTGAACACCAAGGGTCCTATCCCAAATGTTGGTACCAGCATGGTCTCTGTTGGGGGGGGGGATTTCACCCTGCGGAGCTGTGGATCCCCTCAGTGGCACAGGACCCCGAATTACATTGGGTCCGGTGCAAGTGTGAGCACAGTGTTGAGGATAAGGAGGGTGTCCAAGAACCATCGGGCTCTCTAAGCCATCATCCTACCTGGAGATGATGCCCATCCCCATCCCATAATAATTTAAATCCAAATTAACTAAATTTAGGGTTTTGGGGAGATGTTTATGGGCTGCATTAATGGCCCAGCCCCTCTTGGTGCTGGTGGCAATGTATCACTGAGCGTGAAGACATCAGGTCCCCATGGTTCCTATAGGAGTGAGGAGGGGACTTGTGCTTGAGTCTCTGATTTTAGGTGCCTTTGAGAACCCCAAATAACCTGGTACTACCTTGTCCCACAAACCCCACTCCCAGCCTGGCTCAGCCTCCAGACTTGGGGTGCAACTGGGGTGATACGATCCTGTCCAGCAGAACCCACCAGCCACTTCCCAGCATGGGGACGTGCCAGCGCTCACCTGCCTTCCCGTGCCCGGTCCATCCCATCAAACTGTTTCCGCAGCCACCTGGGAAAGAAGGGATGGAAGGAAAGTTTTGTTCCCCCCAGGTCCCCAGACAGGGGCCAGGAAATGGAACCTGCTGGCCCTTCCTCACCTCTCAATCTGTAGCGGGGTCTGAGCTTTCTGGGTATCTGCCACCAGCCAGTTGAGACCCGTTATCCACAGGTTGATGTCCTCCTCACAGAAAGCTGGAGGAGGAAGAGGAGAGTGGTGAGGTTGGGTTGGAGGAGATGGGATGTTGGGGAGGAGGTGAGAGCCCAAGGGTGGCTGGGGGGGAGCAGGGAGGGAGCCCACACACCGGCCACGCTGAGCGTCCGCAGCCTGAAGTCCATCCCATAGAGGATGATGAAGCACATGGTGAAGTCGAGCTTGCGAGCATCCTCGGGGTAGCGCTCGAAGTCTCGTGAGTTCTTCCCCAGGCGGATCTCCTTGATCTCCCGAATGTCGACTGTGGGGAAAGAGGAACATGGGACTGTCCCTTGACATCCTGCCACCACTGCCTCATGTGCAGGAGGTGGGACTGCCAGGAGACCATGTGTCCTCTGGGGATCCTTGTCCCCAGGGTGGGACATCCCCATGGTACTGCCCATGGGTGTGTGATGGTATGGTGGGTGCTGTGGCCATGTGTCCCCCAGGGAGACATCCCCACAGCCCTCCAGTGATGTGTCTGCTAGTGTGACGGCACCATGGGTATTGCAGGTCCTTCAGGGAACTGTGTCCCCAGAATGGGGCATCCCTGTGGAACTGCCTGTTGGTGCATGATGGCATCATGGGTGTCATGGCCATGTGTCCTTTGGGGAACCGTGTCCCCAGGACAGGGTGTCCCTGCAGCACTGCTCCAGCTGCGTTACAGCACCATGGGTGACATGGCCATGTGTCCTCCAGGGAACTGTGTCCTCCAAGGAGCTGTGTCCCCAGGACAGGATGTCCTTGCAGCACTGTTGCAGCTATGTCACGGTACCATGGGTGCTGGGTCCATGTGACCCCAGGGAGCTGCGTCCCCAGGACAGGATGTCCTTGCAGCACTGTTGCAGCTATGTCACAGCACCATGGGTGCTGGGTCCATGTGTCCCCCAGGGAGCTGCATCCCCAGGACAGGGTGTCCTTGCAGCACTGCCTCCAGGTGTGTGATGGCACCCCACTCCTATGTGTCCTCCAGGGACTTGTGTCCACAGAATGTGGCGTCCCCACAATGCTGCCCACTGGTTCCCTAGCTTTGTAGGTGCCACGTATCCTCCAGGATCAGCCTACCCCATGCCAACTAGTGCATCTCCAGACACCTCTCTCCTGCCTTCTCCTCCCCAGGACAGACCCTGCTTTGGGGCAGGCTGAGCTCATATTTTAATTGAAGACATCTGCCCAAAAGTGGCAGTTTAGAGCCCCTGTAGCCCGGACCACAGGGCGTTTCTTTCCTGCTACGCTGCTCTCTCATTATCTTGCTATATAAAGCCCTGCTGGTGGCGGGGAGGGCTGGGTTTCCGGACCACGATCTTCCTCACCACTACACTGCTGGGAGAGATTTCCATCCCCCGGTGATTGTCGAGTGGACACATCCCACCGGGTGCAGAATAATAATATGGTGATATTAGTAATAACACCAAAAGTTGTTCTTCACACCAGGAGCATCACCCCCCAGCCAGCTTTGCCCTCCAGGGTTGAGGTGCTGGCGCCAGAAAGGGCTTTGTACGGCTTAGGGCAGACGGACTGCTGCCTCGTCGGGGTATTGTCCTGTTGAGGAAATGGGTCATTTCCCGGAGAATTTCCAGCCCAGCCCGTGTTTCCGATGCGGCAGTGGGGAAGGGTGCAGGCATGCTGGTGCCTGGATGGAAACCCTCAGCCTAATCCAAAGTGGGGAAAGAAAATTTGAATGCAAGAAGGAATAAGGGATTGGGGGAGAAATCAGGCTAAATCAGAAAAGAGATGCAGAATAGTTTCTCTTGGCGGAAAAGCTCCAGAAAACACTGGAGGCTTTATCTAGCGTTTCCTTGCTGGATGATCACAAGCCAAATTTCACGGATTGGGGTGGGATTGTAGAACAAGTGATACACAGGAGGTCTGCATGCCTGCATGTACTTTGTTTTGGGACTAGATCTCAAGAAATGAAGACCCATTGCTGTCTCCGTGCAGCCCCCATGGCTTGGAACAAACCTTCTTTGCTACAAACAGGCAGATATTTGGGGGCAAAAATTGGCTTATATGTTGAAAAGCAGCCACTCATCCCCAAACCTGCCCATCCACAGGGTGCCATCAACGAGTGAGAATTCAGCGGCTGCTGGGGCTCTGCCAGGAAATCGCAATGCACCATCCCCCCAATTCAACACCTCCAGGATCCAGCCTTGGACCTGACCTCTGGGTGTTGCCAATAATCATAGAATCATCAAATGGTTTGGGTTGGAAAGGACCTTTGAAGGTCAACTAGTCCAACCCACCTGCCAGGTGCAGGGACATCTCCCACTAGCCCAGGTTTCTCAAAGCCTCATCCAGCCTGGCCTTGAACATCTCCAGGGATGGGGCATCCACAGCTTCTCTGGGCAACCTGGGCCAGGGTCTCACCACCCTCACAGTGAAAAAATTCTTCCTAATATCTGATCTAAATCTCCCCTCTTTTAGTTTAAAACCATTACCCCTTGTCCTGTCACTAAAGGCTCTATTAAAACTCTGTCCCTATCTTTCTTATATATTGAAAGGCCACAAGGTCTCCCTGGAGCCTTCTCTTCTCCCGGCTGCACACCCCCAACTCTCTCAGCCTGTCCTCGCACGGAAGCTGCTCCAGCCTCGCACCATCTCCGAGGCCTCATCTGAACGCGCTCGAACAGCCCCGTGT